TTTTCATTCTCCTGAAATAATTTTTGATAAAGGTATCTTAATTCTTACAGTACAGCACTTACTGCATCATGAAATAAAACAGAAAACAATGAAACAAAATGACCACAAAAATTACCTTAACTAAAGACCTAAATACTAAGTGAAGCTAGAATTTTCTGTATTGTGATAAGAGCCAAAATTATGTGATTTTCTGAGTCTAAAAGAAACATCTTGGAGTTTAATGCGTGCTAGTCACTGAAGTGTTTTCTACCTCTATCTTTTACTTACCACCCCGGTTTTCTAGAAGTAACCGCTCTTTGAATAACTATATTCAAGGACTTTATGAGCAACCTTACATATTACATACAAAAGTTTTGACCTTTAACCCAATGTAACCCCAACTTAAAATCTGAAAGTCCTTTATGCAGTTATGTGAGGGTGACTGTCAAACTAATTAATGGTGTCTATCAATTTGGTAGTTTTGGTTTATGTCCTGCACTACTTTGAAGGTAAAGAAACATAGCCTAATTATTATTTGGCTAGGAAAATGTCTTTCTTTTCCAATTTTTATGAAAAAAACTATCCCTTAAAAAATTTTAATACAGCCGGGGATTTAGCTCAGTGGTTCCGCTACCTGCCGCATAAGCTCAAGGACGTGAGTTCGATCCCTGGTACCAAAAAATTAATCTAACATGCATTAACGACAAATGCTAAGTACAAAAGCTTATCACTGGCAAAGGTCCACAAACCCGTTTATACAAATCTGAGCTCTTGATTCAATGAAGACGGATTAGGAAAAATTTATCCTTTATTCGGCAATTTAAAATTTACACAAATTGGAATGTTGCTTACAACGCTTATAATGTACGTCCAGTTCTGCCTTAAAATCCAAATTCGGCCAGTATATTCAAATTCAGGATAAAGTAATTTCAAATAGGAAGATGGAAAGAATCCATCACATCTAAATGAATGCTAGTTTTATCCAAGTGAACTCTCCCCACACCCTTGCAGGCTGGTTTCGCTTGGCAAGGATTCTCAACTGCAGTTTAAGATGTCACCTTGCCTCCAGGACACACCCATCTCGGTAATTACTTGGCAGAAGGTATCACAAAGTACTGAAAATTACAGTCCTCGTTAACTTCTTTTAGAGGAAAGAAGAGTCTCCAGTATTGACAGAAAATTACTTTCTAAAATTTCCCGTCCTCCCCAAACAACCATTGTACGTTAAGATCAGTTGGCAACTTCAAGGAAATAGTCACTTCCAAGGGAATGGTGTGTATGGCAATGGTTCTGTAACACCGCATGTGAGTACTGAGAGGGAAAGAGCGCACGCGGCCCCTTTCAAAGGCAACCATCCAACTGGTACAGGAAGACAAGACCGACTCACACCAGGACAGCAGTCACTCCGGAGCTTGCTCTAGCTTAGTGGCGAATGGAAAACGCCTTTCGTACCCCAGCTGGAGTCGACTGCTTTCCCTAACAAGACGTGTATTTCGAGGATGCGGCCGAATTCACGCTTAAAGCTCAATTCCTTCAATGACAAAGCCAGTTACATTACAAAGTTTTTTGTTTTTAACATTTGTTAGATGGTGGAAGACCGCCCAGATGGACTCCAAGGAAAAATGAGGTGTCCCGAGGGGGGTGGGAAGCTGCCGCGGCCCCCACCCCTCCCGCAGGCCGGCTCAGCGGCGGCCTCTGCAGTCCC